GCTCTTATATATATATATATATATATATATAGGAATAAATGACTTGCAATATAAAGTCCCTTAGTGGGATATCACAACACAATCATATACAAAAATACACAAAAATATTAGAACTACAAAGTAGTAAAAGTCCTAAGTTGCTAGTCAAACGACATCCAATTGTATCAAGACAATCTCGACCAAAAAACATGTCATCTTCAGCATGGCTAACATCTTGCTCGTCCTTTGGCCTAATCTAATCTTGCTCTCATAATAATATGCTCATAGCAGTTTAACTCGTGAAAAAATAAGGGTAAATTTGTATACAAAGAAAACATCATATAATATAGAAACTGACAACTCACTATATAAACAACTTCTTCTTAACTATACAAGAACTATAAATTCAACTTAACAATACAAAACAACAACAATAATCAATCATATAAGATCAATTATTTCACATCTTAGTATATAGCTTAACAACTTAACAACACAACATATTCACAAGAATCACAACACAATATTTTCGTAAAACAACATCTTTATGCTTTACCATACATTACAACTAAAAGATCTCTTACAATAAAGGTGAGCAGTCTAAGTGACTTGATCTTATTGAATTAACACAATAAGACCTTTCATCTCTAAGTCATACAACATAGTTCTTAGACATTAATCATTTTTCAACAAGAGAATTCTCAAATTTTATCACTTAAACTAGGAAAGTTCGACACTACTGTTAGGTATAGTATAACTTTGGTATAGATTTGCCACAACACTAGTATGCACTAATCAAGTCACTGGTGAAATTAGTCCGCTAACTATCCTTTCAATACCACACACCTTTATAGAAATTAGTTAAGAAATTTATCCCTCAACTTCATACCTTACTCAATTAGTCACTAATAAAATTTACACAACACTTTATTTTAAGATCCAACTACTTTAAGAAAGGTTTTCAACATCAGGCTCTTAAAGTACCACGACACATATTCACACAATGAGATATTTTAACTTTAAAAAATAACACTCCACTCTAGTTATAAATTCATAACATAACGCAACAACATGCATCAAACACATCTCAACATAGCTTAATTCAACACAACATATCTACTTATTCAGCACAACTTATGCAACACTTTGATAAGTTATCCAATACAACTTAAAACAACTCAACTTACTTGCTTTTCAACTTTCTACAACAAGATTTCATCAATCATAACAATATAGTACAACATAATTTCATAAAATGTTAACTTTCAACTTCATCATAGAATTAAAGCATAAAACTTAATAGTTGAAGAAAGGCACAGTCCTTGTTAGGTGAGGGTATTCTTGCTTGGCAAGCTGAGCTATCTAGAGCTTCTCATTGGGTGACATTACTCTTGCTTAACGAAGAAGAAAACACTCTCTAACTTTTTTTGCTAGTAGACTTTTGGCTTGCCAAACGAACAAACTCCCCATAGCTCGTCGTTGGGCAACCAAAAGCTCGTTGAGCGAACATAACCCTTGTGGGTCCTCTTGTTGGGCGAGAAACAACCCCATGAGTTTTCTCGTTGAGCATGCTATGCCTCGTAGGGTAAGCCTACCCACAAAATCATTTTCTCGTTAGGAAACACTTTTGCGGCTAAGGGAGATTATGATTTTAAATAAGTGTTATTCAACTTATGGACACAATTTTTGGTGCCATAAACCCTCATTAGGCGAGAACTTGATTTTCACCCACAAAAAAAAAACTTCTCACTTAGAATCCTCTCATCATACTTCATGATCCATGCATGCAACTCAAGATTTATCATTTACTTGCATTATACAACTTATAAATTGAAAGAAATATATCATTCCACGATAATATAACTCAATAAAATTTTCTAATCTTTCTAATTCAACATCAAGGCCATCATAGGCATGATCAACATAACAAAAATCAGCATGTTATACGTAAGAAGGTTAAGTACTAACTTCCCTTACATTGAATTCCCCATAATCAAGGAAAGAAAAGAAGGACAACAAAAAATGAGACTTCATAAGGACTCGTTGTACGTAAATTTAAACCTTTGATATTCTTAGCTCCTTAACTTTGAATTTCAACTCAGCTATTACATAAGCAACTCAAGGAAGGATCTGGTCACTCTTATGGAGTCAAAAGAAAAGAAAATTTTCTTTAACTTCAAAGTCAATCTCTCTAGAAACTTATTTCTAAAACTTTGAGAAATAAGCTTATAAAATTCAAGTTCTCAAAAAATCTTATATACCTTATCTTATTTTACGTCAACTTTAATCTTACATAATAATTTCAAATAACGAAACTCATAATAATTCTAAACTTGTTAGTTTTAAAAATACCAAAAATATCAAATCAACACAAATCAAATAACATGAGACATAAATAAAGCATGTAACTCAAAATACAATGCCAGAATTTATATAAATTTGTTGTCTTTTACAATAGTCAATAATTTTTAATTGATTGATAATGTAATTTTTTTTTACATCGTAGAATATATCATTAAGCTCATCTCATTTCCTCTTTTTCCTATATTCCCTCTAAATTTATATATAAGCAAAAAAAATTAAAATTTTAAAATTTAAATATAAACAAATTCAAACTAACTTAACTTTATTTAATATCATTAAATTAAATGTGATTTCTATTTCTATTAATAATGATAATTAAAAAGTAAATTTTAT